GTAATTTAAAGTCTACATGCATCTAACTTTAATCAATACGAGTAAAGTGAAGCTGAGAGCTAAAGATAAAAAACTCAAAAAAAAAAAAAAAACTAACTCCATTGTTTTTAATATTAATTATGGAATATCATCAGAGAATAAGTAATCTTAAATTAGAAAAGGTGGCTTTAAACCTTAGTGAAAAACAAAAACACAAAGACCCCAAACACACAATCTCCTTCTAATTGTATCTGAAGTTTATGTAGTCTTCAAAATTCCACTTATAATCATTCTTTGAGATTTTCCAGTCCAGTAGTAGCCACACACTACTCAGCTTCTTTAGATTATTATTTCCTAATGTTTACAGAGCAAAAGAAAGTTCTGTCAGCAAAATTTTCGTTGTTTTATTAGTTACTTTCTGTTAGAAAACCCCACCTTTGATTATGGTTCCCTTTCACTATTATACAAGAGTTCAATCACACCCATTTCTGGAAAAAAAAAGTCACCGTAAAAGAATACAACAGACACATTTTTGACTACCTATTCAAACACTTACTCCTCCATCTACTCTTCCAAATCTAAGCATATACAATAAGACAGAAGATGTGCAAGAAATTGGAAATGTTCCAAAAAAAGTTATCTTAAGGGAAATCTGGTCTAAACAGAACTTTAAACAAATCCTACTGCAAGCAGTATCCTCTGATAAATTTACTGCACCCTAGAATCAAGTACACTCAAGGCTAGAATGTCATGCCAGTCATATATTACTTCAACCTCAATAAATCTCTTCTTACTCTCCAAATCCTAGGCTGCTTTCTAAAATAGTTCACTAAAAAGCACCAACCTAATTAACAACAGCTTCCTCTGCAACAGTGGCCTTGATTTCACTTATTTACACATTAACTGCAGCCTCCTTTTGGCCAATCCAGTCTATTCTCTGTACCATGCCGAGCCTTTTATCTGCCCTGGACAGCATTTTCTCCAGCAGATGAAGTAGATGCCGATTGATTTGCTGTCGAGCATGGTAAATTAATAGCAACAAATTGCTGAGGGCCCGTCTCGCTGCTCCACCATGCTTCGGCAGTTTTGCTTTATTTGCTCCATGATGGGCAGCAGTCGGCCTCTTCAAGTCAATTTCTTCTTAACAACCTGCAATACTTTTCAATGGTGAAAATAGAGCTGTTCCTTGTAAGTCAGAAATCAATATCCTATTGCCCTTAGAAAATGCTAAACAAGCAGTATTGGCAATCCACTTGGTACTAGAGGGTATCAGATATAATGCAAATCCATACTGCTTCCCTCCTTGTAGTTATTACAGTTTGCTAAAAGGTTCCTAATGTCATTTATCATCATTTACCATCGACCAAAGAGGCTATGATTATGATATCCTATCAGTTGGCAAGGCCCTTTCATTTCTATTCAATTAATATTTTAGCAGCACTCAAATGGTTGTGGCCCAAATCTCATAATAGAATTTACATGGCTTAGAGTGAAACTGAAGTTTTCCTGCTTTGATTAAAAATATATATATATATATGTACACACACACATATAAATATACAATTTTATATAAATGTTCAGTACTCACTTTTGGATTCTGTGTTGCAGATTTCTAAAATTTTCTAACAATTTCTAAAATTCAAATACTAAAGCTAAATCTTTTTAGAGGCAAAGAGACTTTCAGATTATAGAATATTAACTATGAGAAAGTCACAAGAATGTTCTCATTCTCCTCTTTTCAAAATGTGGTATATTCACCTCCATTTATAGTTCCTACAGGTTGAATTCACATACCTAATGCTCCTAATCTACATCCAATATTCACTTTTTAAAGTGGTAACTTCTGCTGATAGATTCCATCAGGGAGGACTTCTCTAATTGCAGCAATACAAGTGACGGACAGGAACAAGCAGCATTTAGTAATGGTATCAACTGCATACATCATCCCACACTGCCCTTGGTCACTGGCCCATTTAGAAGCCACACTGTATTTTTAAAGAACAATCAGCAAGAAAAAATAACAACTAAACCCTGGGCCAACTGTCCCATCCAAAACAAAAAAACAAAAACTCCACACTTGAAAAAATCCTTAGGGAATAAAGGCCAATGTTCTTACATTTTTAAAAATTCCATTTTGAAGACATCATAGTAAAATATGTGCCATTTCTAACCATGTCCTATTTGTCATCTTTACTTTTGTACTGGAACTTGAGACACAGTAGCAAAGCATTATTTCCCATTATAGCCTAGAACGCTTCATCCTAAGTTCTCTGGGCTTTTTTTCTAGCTTCATCTGCTCACCTCAATCAATCCTACTAAATATTATCAGAAATTAGATTCATATTTTATGCTCCAATTCCATGTCATGTCACCAAATTCCCCTTTAAAAAAAATCCACTAATTCTACCAGACTAATGCTATTTACTCAGTTACCAAAATTTAAATTAATTATGTTCTCAAACATAATTGTTAAAAATTGGCAACATTATGCAGGCTTAATTAAGATTAAATCCAATTTACTAAATGTACTTTAATTGGTACTAATTACATTAGCTTTCATTTCGGAATGACAAATTCCCCATAGGTTTCACTTTATAGTTCTCCATCAGCATCAACACAGGGTGAGTGATGATGAGCATCACACAGAAAGGGGAGGAGGGAGAACAGCTCCCCCCCACCCCCGTTTGTCACTGCTTCATACTTTTATCCTTTTATCAATTTGCTAAGTCACAGAGTCATGACTCCATCACAACCATCATTTTCTGTTCCAATGAAAAATTTCTCTAAAAATAAATACTCTGTGGCTGGCAGCAGCCAAGAAGAACAGGAGCATTAACCAAAAAATACACAAAGGTTTCAAATATCAGGGCCACCAATTACTAAGGTACTTCCAAGGACTCCGGGGACTCCTACTCTTGAACCCTTTGAGACACAAATCTAATAAGTGAATAAGCCTAACCCGATCTTGAGAACTAGGCCCAATTATGCCGCAGGGCAACTTCCCTGCATTATTGCTGCTTTCCATTACAAGGGTATCCAGCGACTGCATCTGGAAGACAGGCTAAGAGGAACTAAGGCCGGCTGCCTAGGAAAACAAATAAAGACAGATATGCCTCTGTGCTTAAGGGGGAGAAAGAAAGAAAATATAATAAGTAGGTGGTTTGCAGGGCTGTCTGTATTTCATAATGTGATAAACTGCCCTCAGGATTCTTGATATGATTGAATTTAAAAGCAAGAGAAAAAAAGAGAAAATGTACTCTTCTCAATTTTAAATGGATGGCGTTTGAGGCCAGCTGGACAAGAAGATGACAGAATTATAGAGGTATAAAATGTATAAAATTAAGGGATCTCACATATCCCCTCCCAGAAAAAGAAATCTACACCTAAATATGAGCTATGTGCTTCTGAGAAATGTAGACGGTACAAGGAGAATTGGAAACTAAGTGGTTAGGGTAAACAAAATACAGAAGGAAAAATAAAGGGACATTAGTCATCTGGTCCAATCTTTAAAAAGACACTAATTAATCTTGGGAGGTGGGGTGAGGACACACACACACAAAAAAGCTATGTACAAGATCCAGACCTAAAATGAAATGTAATAAGGATAATTAACAAGCAGTATCATTCATGTAATCTATTCCTATAAGGTAGAGTTAAAGGGAGTCCATCCATAAGCTTGAGAGGATTTTGTTTAAGCGGAAGATATTTACATTACTAAACTAAACAGAAATAGTAAAGATGCCAAAATAAGAATTAAATTTTAACAGGTGGCATTCAAACCATAGTATAATACTAATACTGATGTAAGCAAATAGCATACGAAGTAAAACAAACAGTATCTGAAATAAAAAGTCAATGTAAGTAATGTCTTATTTTTTCCAACTTTTTGTTTTCAAATACTATCTATCCAATTGCCTTTATTGTCTAACAGTTATGTTTTAAAGATCTACTAACTGGCTATGTTCTGAGCATGTGGTGAATAACTATACCCAAAAACGAACCTTTAAATACTAATAGCCTAATAATATGGGCTCATTTCACACTTTCTCAACTTAGAAAGTAATGACATCTACCTTAAACATAAATAAAAGATGAAAAGCAGTGAGTTTTCCCTTGTCTTTTTCCCAACAGGAAAACATATACACACACCTATTCTGAAATGGTTGATGAGACCTGAACTACTTCCACTAGGAGATCACTAAAAATAAATGTTTCCTAGAGGAATTACTATTGCCAAACAATATATATAGCATATATATATGCTATTCTTCTGTCTAGGAAACTTAAGCCAATCCATTTTACTCAGACTTTTGCAAAAAACTAAGGCTGCTTGAGTCATACCTCCCAATGCTTTCTAACTAATCATTATCTTTTTTCTTTTCTTTTTTTTTTTTTCTGCTGAACTAATTGCTAGATTTCAAGACCCAGTGTTGAACCTTATCACAGCTTCTAACAGGCTCATTTACTCTGTACAAATTTTGGAAGTAATGGTTACAGTTCCTGGTAAGACCCAACTAAGTAGCCTCAGGGGACCAGTACAAGGATTTTACATCAATTTCTTTTGTAGCTCCACAGATTTCATTTTGATCCTCCCAGCTCACCCACTATCTATTCTTTCACACCAAGCCAACGAAGGCTCCACACAATCTACAGTTTTGCTTTTTAATATTTTCCAAGAAAAGCTTTCATGAGACAAGTTCAAAATGCCTGCAATACCTAAAGCAACTCTTTAAAAAGGAAAACAAGATATCTTTTAAAATTTAGCATCCTGCTTTTGAAAGTGAACAAAGTTTAATATGCATATAGACTTCTTAAAACAAAATTTTTAAATTATTAAAATTAGGATAATATGAAAGAAAGATGAGGAGCCACACATGAAAATAACAGCATTCTCTCCATTACCCTGTCTTTCAAAATACAGGTAGCCACAACAATGTGCAGAATAAAATTGCAAAACACTGTTCTTTTCAAACTGTACCAGTATTACTGTCATTTAAAATGGTTATAAAGAAATAACTTACCTGCTTGTGCATTTCTATATTCAACCCATAGGACATTTCATAATACTGTCAAAGAAGGAAAAGCAATTAAATTCATGCCTTTCATCAAACAATCTCCTAGTAGTTTGTTCAAAATGCCCCAAGTATATTTAAAACAAACAAACATAAAAGCCTCACCTAAACCAAAATATCCATAATACCTATGCCAATGAATCAAGAGGAACTATATTAAGCCTAATAAACTAGAAGCCTCCTTAAGACACAGATTCTAAAAGAATAACTCAAAAACTAAGAAAAATTAAGTGCAAACACAGTACTCTTAACATCTCCAGTTGTCTTTATGAATCACAAACAGATAAATCAAGAGTCTGATAAAAATTCGGTACCATATGGACTCTAATTCCTAGGCACAGTGGGCAAGTTAATGGCAAAAAACGTGTCTTATACAAATGCTGATGTTTTGAAAGAACAGTTGGGAAAGGTGATGCTACTTAAGAATTCAGTTTCTCATCTGTAGTGTACAGCTCATGCTCACATATTCAAAGCAAAAAAGCTTGATAGAAAAATGAATGAATGAGTTACTCTGGAGCCTCTTTGAAAAATCAAAATATGTTCCATAATACTTCCATAAAAGCAGACTGGGCTTTTTAACCACGAAGTATAACTGGCATTATAGGAATTCTGGCGGAACAAATCAGTTATACAGGAGACTACAACACTCCTCAAACCAATATAACAATATAGAAATTGAAAACACACACACAAATATAAATGTAATAGTAACGTAAAGAGTGAGGAAAAAATATGAAAAAGGGTCTGGTGTCTTCTTATCCATTCTTTAAAAGAAATAGAACACATTCAAATTTTAATAGTATACAAAAAAATTATCTGGTTAAAACTGGAGCAACAGCAACAAAACAAAGAAAACCACTAACAAAAACATTTTGCTTGTGACTAAACAAAACATAAATGAGTTTTTTTTTTCTTTTGTCAATCTGTAAAACAAAGCACAGAAAATCATACCCTATGTGGCTGAACTTTTGGAAAATTCAAATCAAAGCTGGTTGTCAAAGGCAAGTTATAACATCCTAGGAATTACAGGTTGCTAATAGACACATTCCCACAACCTCAACTACACTGGCAGAGTGACTGTGATCTATCCTGCAGCCTCCAGCAATTTGAATGCATTCTTGTTTTTTGTATCCCAAACTAATAGGCACTTTGAATCTGGGACCCGTTTTCTTACCATGACATAATGCCGCTGCATCTCCGTCTTCTCACTGGCGAGTTTCTCACATTCCAGCTTCAGACTGTTTGAGACATAAGATAATCTAAGTACAGTGCAGATCTTAACTTACATTCTTCAATTCAAAACACATATTCTCTCCTCTAAATCTCACCTACAAAAAACAACCCAAATCTATAATACAATCTTCAATAACACCCTCATTATGGAAAGAGAGAAGAGAGAAAGGAGTGACTGGAACCACTGGACTTGCCCTTTCAATGTGGATCAAATGTGAGGTTTTTTGTTTTTTGGGGTTTTCTTTTTAAGTTTTAAGTAAATAAACCCTCTAGTTGATTTAATGACGGGATGTCATCCAGAATTGAGTATTCATTGAATTCACTTAATAAAACAAAGAAATAAACATCAATAATGACTACACATACAAGCACAGATAAGTCCCCCAAAATGTCACAAGGGAGTTTGTTTCTTTAATGATGTGGGAAGAGACTGATGAAAATGTGAATCAAGCATGTCTTATGAATGATGTCTTGTTTTTTTTTCCCCCCCTCCAAACACACAGACAAGTTGAATACCACCACCCAGGGGCAAAGTGTCAATCAGGTTCAGAGGGTCGTGGTTCTTGCATTTATGAAATAAAAAATACGCATCATTAAAAAGCCAAAGAAAAATGTTTCAAAGGCACTCTAAGAATCGCTCCTAAGACGAAAACATTTTTTCAGCATAAAAGTAATGAAAACGCTCACTTGGACTTCCCAGGGCTTTTCAGCTCTTCAGTGGAATGGCAGAAAGAAGTGAGAAGGAATCATGCCCGGAGTAATAAAGAACCAAGGAAGTCAAAAGGCCTCAGAATCTTCCCAACCTTCCATTCTCCTGGCCCCGATAAATCAGTATGTCAAGTTTGGCCTCAGCGTTTCCCAAGTCTCCCCAGTTCCGATTATTCTGCCTCCTTTTTATTTTAATTTACGGGAGAAAAAGAAATGCTTGATTTCTTTACACCTGCCTGAAGGAAAAGAGGCCTTGACTTGTCCTTTCTGCCCACAGGAAAAAAAAAAAATACCTTTGTGGTGGTCCCCCCCAAAAAGGGGGGGAGGGTAGGTGTTTGTGTGTGTATGCGGGGGAGAGACAAGAGCTAAGCAAACAGGAGGATCAGCTAAAGTCAATATCGTTACCTGTGGTACTGAGCCTGTAAAAACTGAAACTCTTCCTTAATCCGATCACAGGATTCGGAAATTGTAAATTTAAAGGGTTGAGCAGGCTGATGTGGTGCCTAAAAAACAACAATAAAATATTTAATTAGCCCACATCACAGGCGTAGCAGGGAGACGAGGAAAACACACCACGCGGCGTCAGCGGGGGCGGGGGAGTGGGGGGTCATCGCGCACGCAGGCGAGGAGCGATTAAAACTCTCCTCCAGCCCCCTCCTCTCGCCCCTCAGCCCGAGCAGGGGATGGTTTCGCGGGGCCCGGGGCCCGGCGTGCTCCCGCCCGCAGCCCCGCGCGCCCCGGACCCCGCGGGTTCGAGCCCCAGCTCCCGGCCCTGGCCGACGGCGGGCACCCAGGGGCCGGCGCGCCGCGCCCACTCCCTCCTCACCCGGAATCGAAACTGGCCCGTCGGGGGGACCCGCGCCATGGTGTCGGGCTGCGGTCAGGCGGGGGGAGGGGGCGCGGCCGCCACCCTCCCGGCTCGCTCCAGCGCTCGCTCGCTCGCCCCGGGGGCTGGCGGCGCGAGGGGCCGGCGCCCCGCACTTCCCAGCCGCAGCCAGCCCAGCAGCGTCGCCGCCGAGGGCGCCCTCCCCGCCCCGGCGCGGAGTCGCGCCGCCTTCATCGCTCGCCACCCCCCCTGGAGGAGTCGCGGCGCGGGGACCGCAAACGGCTCCACTTGGCTTCCAGGGGCTTCAAAGACAACAATAAGAAAATGGCTACAACTCAATTGCCTCTCGCACCCCCTCCGAGAGTGCCACCGCGCCGGGGGGGAGGGGTGGGGGCCGATGGCGGGCGGCGGCTCCCGGAGTCGGGCGCCGATTTCGGGCCGCTCTCCACGCCCCTCCGGCCAAAAGACACAACTCGGCGCGCAGGGGGGCGACGCGGGGAATCCCCCGGCGCCCGGCGAGCCCGCGCCCGCGCCGCTCGCACTCACCGGGTGTCTGGTCTGCGGGTACATCTTGCTCAGGTCGCGAATCATCCAAACCGATTTAGTTGGCTGCGCTAGGCAGAAGCGCGCGGCTCATTGGCTTTAATGGCCCCGAGGAGGAGGCGGCGGCGGAGGCGGCCGGCAGGGTCCGAGGGGAGGCTCGGGCGGTCCCGGCCCCCGCCGGGTCTCGCGTGACGCGGGCAGCAGGAACGCGCGGCGGCGGCGGCGGCTGGGTGCCGGCGGCCGGGCCGCTCCGCATTCCCCGCGGGCGTCACTGGCCCGCCGCGGGCATTGTCCGGCGCGCGTCTCCCGCGGCAACGCTCCGCCGTTCGCTCCGCCGAGGCGCGCCCGCCGAGCCCGGCACCGCGGCCGCCGCTCACCCGGCCGGGAAAGTGCGAGCTCCGCGCCCCGCCGCCCGCCGCTCGCTCGCTCTCGTCCCACTCCAAACTTTTTTTTATTTGTCTTTTAATTGGTTGTTATTCCTCCGAATGAATAATCTTTCTTCTTCCCTAAAAGCAAACACAAACTCCTTTGGTTCGGAAGAGGTCTCGACGGTGCTTTTTGGTTTCTCTGGAGATTTTTTCACTTCACGGCAACGATCTTTTAAAAGGCACCTTTTAGCTTCTTTTACCACATCTCATTTCCTTATTTTTCTTCCTTCCTGTTTTCTTGTCTTTTTTTTAACCCCAAATTGAAGGGGATTATAAAAATAAAAGAGTGAAACGCTTGCGGCTTTTTTTTTTAATTCTCTCTCCTTTCAAACTCTGCGAACACCACCTCAAAATAATATACAAGTGTGTGAGAGGGGGAAGAAAGCAGCCAACAGCCCAAACACCCGCTCAGAACAGCTCTAACAACACGCTCTGTGTAGGTGACTTCTTTGACCAAATTTAGCAGCAGCTAATCATTAACATTCTGATACATATTCACAACCGTTCGCGGAGGGACCGCGGAGCATCCCGGGAGATGTAGTACACCCCCGGCGACCGTGGCTGGGGGCGACCGTGAGAATACGGCCAGATTGACTACAATCACCAGCGGGCCACGCGACCGCTCTGGGGCGCTCTCCAAGCGCCCCGCCCACCCTCGGCGCGGTAGGCGTCTCCAGCAACCAATCAGAGATGGCTGAACATTAATCGCCGTTCTGTGTTACTGCCCATCATTTCACTGCTGACAAATGGCAAGCTAGGGGGGAGGAGCCAACCGGGCTGAAACCCACGTGGGGGCCGGGCGTCGCCCGTGGCTCCGACCAATGAACGAAACGGAATGGGGTTGGCGGAGGCGGGGCGGAGATGGCCCGCCCAAGGCGGAGCGTTGCCTTGGCTGACGTTCCTTAGCGGGAGCGTTCGAACCGGGGAAACATTTGTTCAGCTGTCAATCAAAGTAACGTGGGGTTGGGAGAAGCGGCGGCTGCTGCTGCTGCTGTTGCTGCTGCCCTGGCTGCATCTTCAGAACTAGGTGTTGGTGGCGGTGGTGGCGGCAAAATAAAGACGGTGGAGGGGGCGGTGAGCCTGGAGGCCGGTCAGAAGATCTTCCGAGTCTCGTCCTCCCACCCATCCCCCTCCCGCCCCTAACACCCACGGCCCCCTCGCTCGGCGGCGGCCGCGCCAGGAATGCGGACTAATTAGGGTCCAATGTCTCCTTAAAGAGACAAGCTCGGCCTTGTGTAACGCGCCGAAACCCCTGTTGAGACAAGAGAGGGAGGATCACGCTGATCCCACTTCGTTCGGTTCACATCAATTTTACGCGCCGCTGGAGCCGGCATAATTTTCCGTGTGAACGCGGACTCGGGCCCCTGTTCCTGTTTAGAGCCGTAGAAGGAGTCGCGAGGTGCCCGCCGGGGCTGAGGCCGCCGGGGTGGGCGGGGAGCACGTCCCTCCGAGCCCCGAGGGGACTGTGATTGCCATTTAACTCCGAAGGGAGGCCGCCTCCCCCCAGGTAACTCGTGAGGAAAGCCCTCCGGACGCTGCAGCTGGGGGTCGTGGGGGCGTCACCGTGGGGTCTGGGCGGGTGGGGGGCTGAGGGCCCGGGGGCGGGAGTCGCTGGATTTCCAAAGAAACTTTGCGGAGGGGGCCGCGCCAACTCCGCAGACCGTCGGGCCCTTATGCAGAACGGGCCAGCAGGGTGCGGGTCCCCCCCGCACGGGGAGGAAAACGCCCCTGCGCGCGCCGGGACGCCCCCTGCCCCAGATCAGTAGGAAAACGGCCCCTCTTTCCCGCCCTTTGGAGGAACAAGTCGAGTTATCCTGGTGGGATATCCCGAGAGACGGGTGGAAGGTGGGGCGGCCCCGGCGGCAGTGGCTGGGGGCGGAGGGATGGGGCAGCATAGCGGGGTGGGGGTACCCCTAGGGAAGGGGCCCGGGGTGGGGGCGACCGAGCAGTCAGCAGCCTCTCTGTCCCAGTGCCAATGCAGCTGGGGGCAACTCTTCAATTCAAGGGGAGGCGGCTGGGGCTCGCAGCCTGCGCTAGCGAGCCTCTTACCTTTGGAGACGGGGGAAAAAAATCGGGAAAAATCAAAAAGAGGGTCGGCTAACGTAAAGGTCTGGGACTGGGTTTTAGACATTCATCTCTAAGCGTCTTTTGCCTCCTCTAACTTGAGATGTTGGCCGAGTTGCTGCTGTTGGTTCAGCAGCGTTAGTTGAAAACTGTTCTTAATGCTATATCCCTTTCAGTGGACGAATCAATAACCTGTCTATAAACCTCCTTCCGTCTGGCCACTGTGGAGGGCTGGTGCGAAGAAAGAGTGCGGTGGTCTTCACCTGCCTCTAGTTTCATACTAAAAACCCAGAACTAGAGTTCACGGAATGTTCCAATTCAGGAAATATTTTCACCTCCATCCCCAAAATAAGAGGATGGAGAACTATTTCCTCAGTTTTCTAAACCTCTGCTGTCCATACCTAGCCACATGTGGGTGTTGAGTGCTAGAAATGTGGCCAATCCAAAATGAGAGAAACTGTAAGTACACACACACATGAGATTTCAAAGAATTGATATGAAAAAAAAAAGTGAAGTAGCTCAATAATTTTATAATGATTACATGTTGAAATTATATTTTGAATAAATCAGTTGAACAAAATATATTACTAAAATTAATTTTGCCTGTTTTTATTTATTTATTTATTTATAAGAAGAGGGTCTCCCTATAATTGCCCAGGCTGGCCTCAAACTCCTGAGCTCAAGCAATTCTCCCACCTCAACCTCCCCAGTACTGGAACTACAGGCAGATACCACTACATCCAGCTTCTTTTTACTTTTTTAGCCTGGTTCCTGGAAAATTTAAAATCACATTAGTCACATATTTCCATTGGACAGCACTGTTCTGAAGTATTCCTAAGAATCAAAAGTTTTCCCTTGAGTGATACAATTTCTACCCTAGAATAGTGAATTCTCTAAGAGCACCAACAACCACCACGTTTTATTCTAAGGTAGGTTATTTGCTCCCACTGGAGCTTTTCAATAGTTTGTGACATTACCAAGAGTGTCACTCTCTGTAGGAAGTTCCATGTTATCTATTTTAGCCAGAATGTTAGCAGGTTCCCTAAGAACAGTTTGTTGTGTTCACAGTTGTACTCCAAATGCCCAGAACGTCTGGCATCATTGTCTAATAGTTGGTGCTCAGTAAATATTTGTTGATGGCACTAATCAATGAATACCACATTGCATTCATATATTAATAGAAAGTTTCTATATCATTTAGGTCATATTTGTTGAAATTCTATGCAGTTTTTTCTCAGGACAGAAAATGAGAATTCGAACCATAGAACCTGAAGAGCTATTGAAAGAGTGGACAAAGAGGAAACTTTACTCTGTTAGGTAATATCAAATAGCTTGTAGCAGGGACCTTTCTTCTAATCTCTCTTGACAGTTTGTGTCAACAGAAAAGTGGCTAAAGAAATCAAGATGTTTATTTTTATTAAGTATAGTTTTAAAGTATAGCTCTTGGATATGTTTCACATTCTGGCCACGTGGCGGATCTCCATAATGCACAGCAATGTCTCAGGAAGATCCCAAGTTAAGCAACTGGTGGCCCAGCTCTGGCCTCAACACAGGAAGTGAGAGGGGCTCATGGCTGCTTTTGTTTTCTCTTCTCTCTGCCTGTGCTTCTCTCATCACACTTCTCACAAACTGTTGAACCAAGCTGTGATGTTATTTGGGACCTCATCTAGCACAGAGGGCTCCAGAGTTCATGTGGGGCAGGTTCCGCAACAGCATTCATGTTGGATGCTAGGCCTGGAATGTCCAATTTTAAAGTGACACATGCCAAGCACACTTTCCACTTAGGTTAGTTATAAATTATTTATTACTTCCAATATTTATTGAATACCTACTATCTGCCAGAATATGGCAACTTAGCAATAAATGTGGCTATTATTGATTAATTGCCTCTTAGTTCCAAATTCATACCTCTTTGCCTGCTCAGTGAAAATGAATCTGGGCCCTTAAATATTTTCCCACTGATAGGAAACTTTGTCTGTAGATGGCAGCAAGCTGCAGCACCCAGCAGCCAGCACCTTCCTCCAGAACCCCACTTAGGTGGTTTGGGAGCAAGTGCCTCTAATGAGGCACCTCCTTGAACAGATTTCCCTGGACCACCAGAGAATAGATTTCCAGCCAGTTCTGAAGTGGGGATTGCTGGCAAGTTTCAGAAGGCAGATTTTCAGGAGGGAAGGTCCATCTGCTATTCAGAGAGCTACAGCTGTGCCCTCTCCATAAGGTCTGGATCACAGTATTATGAAGATGTGATTGGAATGATACAACTAGTTCAGATGGGAGGTCCTAGAAAGCTTCTCAGAGGAAGTGACGCTTAAGCCCAGGCCTGAAAGCCAAAAAAGAGCCAGCCAAGGCAAAAATCACTGAAAAGCAAATTTCAAGTGGATGCAAATGCCCCATTTTGGGAAGTATTGGTGAATATGATTTTTAAAAGACTCATACATGCTAAAGTAAATATGAGATTAAATCATGGCTATACCCATGGGTGCTAGTCACATCGAACTTCTTATGCATAATAAAGGCATTCATTTTCTGTTCTGAGTGCAATGGAAAGCCATTGTAGAGGGAGAAAGACTCATGAGCAGACAGTGACAAGATCATTATAAATATCAAAGTGGTCCTAAGGTGCCCACATTCACACTTGACCTAAAATTAAGAAAGCATCCTTTTCCATATTAAAGAATAATCTATTGTTTCTATTTGGAGACAGCTGATAAAGAGTATAGAGACACACACCCTACCCTTCCCACACAGCCTCCCCTTGGTACCGCCACTGCCTCACTCCCACTAATAAGTGATAGTTAAATTTTGAGTAAAGTCTGACTATGCAGCTCAAAAATACCAAGCTATGCTTTGAATATACAACCAGCACAGCAACAATCATAGAGAATCAAGGACACATAGATCCATTTCTAGATCAACAGTTGACTTGCTCAGTAAGTCAACTTGCCATCACCCTCCCCTCTATGATGAGATGGAGATAGTTGTACAGCATACTCCTTATTTTTGAATATTTAGTATATGTGTCAGAAAACAACATTTCTAAACTTGTCTGGTGAGACAGAGCTTTATCTTTGCCAGCTGCCTCTGCTGAGTGGTAGAGACTGCCAACCCTTTGTGCTGGGATGTCCCTTCTTGGTGGATAAAAAGCAAGTGGGCACACACTGCTTTTTTTTTGGGGGGGGAGGGACTTGGCTTGGGAGCAGGGTAGAAAAAGTTTCATAGGTACTAGGGAGACTTCTAGGACTCTCCATGTTGCAATGCTACTTTATTTGAAACTCTTGAAATGGCCCCTAATTAAGTCTTCAGGCAAGTAGGAACACTGAGGCCTTTCTCTTCCTGCCCAGGCATGGTAGTGGGAGGTGAGGAGGGGGTATCTAGAACTTACCTAATGTCAACAGGTGAATGAACCAGTGAGCCAGGTTTACTAGCTGTGACTCAAAAGTGGGAAGTATGGGTCTTTCTTGTTCTGAAAGAACTCTTGATTAAAGATAGGAATCTCCTTTTTGCTTAGTCATCCTAGTACTAATGGGGTGCTTTGGGAGAAATAGCTGAGTGTGTGAGAAAAGAAAGGTCTGTATAGGAACCCCTGTCTTCAATAGTCACACCCTATGTCAAAAATAATTATGGGGGTCTGAGGGAGACCCTAGACTTCTCACTTGTCTGAACAATAGTCTTAAATAGTTTAAAAGAACTGTGAATGTATTAATATTTATACTATAAGCTGATGAAGCAAATCATATCTAAGAAATTCACTATGAAAAATGACTCCCTCACTTGGGAAAAGCTCATGTTATCTTTACTTTCCTTGAATCTAGAGGGACCTTAAAGAGACTTCTCTATTCCCTTCCTCTGCCTTTAAGTGAATAAGGTATCATTATCCCCACTTTAAAGATTAGTCAGCTGAGGCTCAGAAAGAAGTTATTTGCCCAAGGTTATACAGCTTCTAAGTAGTGAAGCAGAGATCAGAACTCCTGTCTCCTTCTTCATTTAATACCTTGCATAACCCCAAATTCTACAAGTTGAGTATTCAATTAAAGTATGTAATTTAAGCACTACCCAACCCACCTGCCTGGTTTACTCCTTTTCAAGCAGATGTTTTATTGCTAAAATGGGGGTGGAAGGTTAAAGTGGGGAGATGACTGTGTTGCAGCTGCCACTGGGCAAAAGCTGAAACTGAGATTCCCACGGCTGCAGGAAGCAAAGCCCACTTCCTCCAGGCCCGGACCTTCGGAGTTCCTGCAGGCTGGATGAGGAAGCTCGGGAGAGATGAACAGTGCTGAAGCTCTAGTTCTTTTACTTTCAACTAACAGCAGGGTTCACACCTGTGCAGCTGCTCTTGCTGTGCCTTCACACAGGCTCCCACTCTTGCTAACTATCACAACAGCCTGCGGGGCAGATATTACAGGAGAGACACTGCACATTTACTTTCTGAAATGGGTGGCATGG